GCCTGAGGCACTGCCGTGAGGGGCTGACAGCCTTAGTCTCTCTGAAAAGCGATTTGCAATTATTCTGGGCTGAACTGTGCCCCTAAAATCCTCATGTTGACGTCCTAGCCCCAGCCCCTCAGAAGTGGACAGAGGGGCACCCTCACCCCCCGGGCACAGGCGGAACCTGCCCGTGTCCCCTGTCCCGAGAGGCAGGACCACCGCAGGGGCCCCTCGGACACTCGATGGTGACCCGAGGCGAAAGGAATCCCATGTAAACAGCCTCTCTGTGCGGGGCCTGGAGCAGCCCTGTGACCTCTGACCCTTGGCCCCTGACAGAGACAAGGTGAGTCTCCCTGGGCCGCCCCGGGCCGGGAGGACCAGAGAGTAACCCTGAGCCCATTTCCAGTCTTTGCCCTGCAGGCGAGGATGCCGGGCTCTGGTTTTTAAAGTGGGAAACAAACGGCCGTCTCTCATCTGTCCCCCCAGGAGGGCAGGGGGCAGGGTCCGGGCTCTGGGGCCTCCCATCTCCAGGTCGAGGCCGGCAGGACTGAGCGGCCGGACACAGGGCGGGAGAAGGGCAGACCCAGCCCCAGGGCTGCAGACGGGGCGGAGCGGGTCCCGTCCTGCCTTCACCCAGGATTCTCACCCAGGGTTTTGTTTTTCGTTTGTTTTTTGTTGATTTGAGAGAGAGCGGAAGGGAAAGGGGGGGAGAGGGAGGGAGGGAGGCGTTGCCATTCACATGCGCCCTGACCAGGACCAGGATCTCACCTGCAAACCAGGCACGTGCCCTTGACCGGGAACTGAACCCACGACCCTTTGGTGTGCAGGCCGACGCTCTAGCCACCGACCCACCGCAGCCAGGGCTAAACCAGGCATTTGAGCCTATTTTGAATCCAAAACTATGAGCACATGCTCCAAATTCAATAACCCCCTTAGCGAGCGCTGACCGGAGCCTGCAGGCCTGTGAAGGGCCTCATGCATCTTCCCAGCCAACCTCAAAGCTTCCGTCTGAGCAACCGGTTCACACTGAGTTAGCGAGTCGGGGAAAGCGAGTTATTAATCGGGAAGATTCAATTGTTCACTTTACAAAGTGAGGACTTCGTTTCAAATCTCATTGAACCATGAGAACTCTACCCCGGGCCATTTCATTGCATTTATTAGATTTCTGAGACAACTTGCAGGAACAGACTCGATAGACGGAATAGAAATTCCTCAAAATAAGATTTAAGTCTTTGATGCCGAGACGGTGAGTCAGGCAGACACACGGACGCGTCTCCCACACGTAGCTCCGGGCAACTGGAGAGGAGCCGCGGGGAAGGGCGCGGTGGATCCCCCGACCTGAGCAAACGGTGCGACGAGCCGTAAGCCTGATTTCCACCGCGGCCTCTCACCAGGCGTGCGAACCGGCACAGCTGGCCCCCCCGGGGCCCCGCTTTCCTCGTGTGTGAAGCCGGCCCTGCTCGGGTTGGTCACCACGTTTCAGGGCGATCCGTGTGGTTAGCACCCTCCCACCGCCCAGGCCTCAGAGGCCCCTCCGTGCCTGAGGGCTGGAAAGAAACAAACACAAATCAACCCGGTAGAAGCAGCCGAAGGAAGAACAGATCAGGACCACGGGCACCCGGCGTGCAGGCCGTGGGACGGAAGCCGCCGGTCCTCGTGCACACTCAGGTGTGGGGCCCTGTGCGACCAGGGCAGGGTGGCCCGGCGGTGCCTCTCCTGCCGTGTGACCTCCCAGCTGTGTGACCCGGGACAAGTTACCTGCCCTCTCTGTGCATCACTGCAGAGGAGGTGCTAGGAAACCTGACCTGCAGGGCGTGTGATGGCTCCACTGGCTAACGCTTCTGAAGAACTTGGGTCCCTGTCTGGCACGCGGCAAGCAATAATACACACGCAGATGGTTTCCCAGCGTTAGCTACCAGAAATAAATTAAAAGGCAAAAAAACGGCCCGAGCCAGTTTGCTCAGTGATTAGAGTGTCAGCCGGATGACCGAAGGGACTTGGGTTCGATTCCTGGTCAAGGGCAGGTACCTGGGTTGCAGGTTTGGTGCCCGGGGCCCCCGGTTGGGGCTTGTGCAGGAGGAAACCAATCGATCTCTCTCTCCCTCCCCTTTCCACTCTGAAAAGCAATGATAAAAATATCCTCAGGTAAGGATTAATAAAAACTAAAAAAACAGACCCAAACCTGCCCAGGTAGACTGTGGAACCTGAGGGCGGCCGCTGGCCTTCTGGACGGTCCCTCCCGACTCAGTGGGGGTCACCCGAGCGCGTCGGGAGGAAGCCACGAGGAAAAGCCCTGCTGGCACCTCGAACGAGGGCCGCTCTCCGAGGCCTGCGGCTCGGGCAGAGCTGGGCCCGGACCCCGGGAGGCAGCCGCCCGGGACGGTCCCTCTGGTCCGGCAGAGGCCACTGCGTGTGGCTCCCCTCCCGCTGGGACTCGGGGTCGCACAGGAGGAGGGAGGAGGGCCCAGGAAAGTTACAGGAGAGGGGACTGGCGGCCGTGGCATTTCCCTCCCGTGAGTCACCCGGAGAACACCGGAGCAATGCGACCATGAGTCACAGGGAACAGGGAACGGTTTGATCTGCAGGTGGTTCTGCGTAGCTGCAGGCGCCCGATCCTCCCCCGCTTCGTAGATACACATCTCACCACGGCCGGGCGGGCGGGCGGCTCAGACACAAACAGCTGCCCCGAGTTAGGAAATTCAGCGGGTGGCTTCCTGAGGTCCCGAACACACAGGCAGGCCTGTGCCAAGCCCAGCCGGCTGCCGTGCCAGGGACACCCCTGAGGAGCCCCCGTCCCCGCACCCTGGGGCCAGGTGAGGCCCCGCCCGGGAGCTGGCGTCTGTGGGAACCTGTGGGCCGAGGCCTCGGACAGCGGCGGGCCCAGGAGGGCGCGTTTCCCGGGGAAGAGCACTCAGGGGAGAGGCTGCCCGGCGGCTGCCGACGGCCCCCACGTCCTGACCGAGACCAGGTGGGAGCCTCGGGGCCACCCGAGTGCTTCCTAGGCCGCGGCTTGAGCCTCAGTGACCACGGTCCTGGGACTGCGGGACGTGCACGTGACAGACCGCCCTCCACGTCGTAGGTTTAAGCCCAAGTTCCCTCCGGCCGGAAGCGTTCAGTGTGTCGGCAGGAGTGTGCCCGCGGGAAGGAGACGGGCTCTGCCCCAGAAGTGCGATTACGGGGCTCGCGCTGAATGGTCTCGTCCCGGGTGCCGCGGGGATGGTTTGCACGTGGCGCCATTAGGCCCAGCGCTGGCTTTTCACGAGAGGAGGTCCTTTTAATAATCACAACAGTTCCCTTTTCATTGTGATCTGTTTTACGCTTGATCTTAGCCAAAAGGCCGAGACGCGATATTACAGGATGTTTTTAAAAATTAGATACTGATTATATCAAGCGCAGCCTTGGGGAAAACCAGGCGACGGTGCCACCCACACCCTCCTCTGGCGGCCACACCGGCAGCTGCTGACCAGCGTGGCTTCCCCTCAGGCCCGGTCCCCAGGCTCTGTGGTGTGGGGCCCAGGGAGACCCCGTTAGCGCTTTTTGGTTCTAATATCTTTTCTCCCAGACCAGGGTGTTTGGTGGCCCCTCGGGTCCTCGGTCAAGGCGGAGACCCCTGTGTGGCCCTGGCCACGGCCGTGTCCTCTCTGCCTTCGGGTTAATTCTTTCTGTGCTTGGCTGCCACTGGGGATTCTGGCCACGTTCTGGGCCACGGGCATCTCTCAGGGTCTGGGAGAATGGAGCCCACGTCTGTCCTCAGCCTCTCTGCTGCCTCCAGGTTAATCAGAAGCGAGGGAGCAGACAGTCACTTGTGTCACCATGTACGATGCCAGTCACACGTCACACCCCCCACACTGTCCTCAGTTCCGGCCGGAGCGCGTCTCACGGCCGGTGTTACCTACGCGCACGGGGCAGGCGCCCACACGGGCCTCGGGCCTCGGAACAGCAGCTGTTCAAACCTCCTCTAAGACTAAGAGCGATAAGAACACACTTTCCTTTGCTTACCCCGGAAGCTCGGTCCTCAGAAGGCCCGGCCGGCACCGAGTCCCAGGGCTGCGGCTCTGGATGCGGGAGCTGCAGGCGGTCGGACAAACCGTTGACCTTCAACAGCAGTTCATCTACCAGGTCGGCAAATTCATCCAGGGAGGGGGTCTGGGGGGAGAAAACCAGACTAGCAAATGCCTTCCAGAACCTGAGCTTCCCCCTTCCTCCCTCACCATCTGAAGCATTCTGTGGCACCGGCTTTAGAGACACGCGGGACCTAGATCGGGGGGCCGGGGGGCCTGAATTTCACATCTCGGTTCCCTCACCTCACACAGGTGTGCACACCTGTCCCTCGCCCGCCAAGCCGTACACAGGTGTGCACACACCTGCTTTGATTGGTTGGACTCGGGCCTCGGGTGACAACACGCAGCGACTACAGGGACGGAGTGGGGGGGTGTTGGGGGGAACCCTCACGTCCCCCTTGCCGGCCCGCGGGGTCACCCTGAGGGTAAAGGAGCCTGGGCTTGGCCCGCTGAAGTCTTTGAACTGTAGGTGAAGTTCTGTGGCTCTGCGGGGATTTGGGGCCAGAGGGACGGTCACACTTTTATAACTGAAGCAAAACTGCGCAACGACACCGTCGCCTTGGGCGTGCTCACCGACCCAGCCCGGAGCTTACCTGGCCCCCGGCCGGCTCAGCCTCCTCGGGCGCCGGCCGCTCCCGCCCCAGCGCGGAGCAGACCTTCCCCCACACGTAGGCCGTCACGTCTCCCGGTCCCACCAGAGAGGGGCTTTGAAAAGATTTCCTTTTGGGGGCAAAAGCCACGAGGGAACCTCTCAGCTGGGAAAAATGAAAAAATAAAGACAAACTTCAAGTTATTAAAAAAAAAAAATAGCTTGGTCAATTTGTTCGGTGATAAAATGGAGATTGAATCTGATGCTATTTTATTCCCTGCCAATAGGACAGTCATTGCTCAGCAAGGGAGCGGAGCTGAACCGCAGCAAGGTGAACGCGGCGACGGACGCCAACCCTGCTCTGAGCCTGGTCTCGGCGCCCGCAGCGGGGGGGCTGAGATGCGGAGCTGGAATCGGTTCCACGGGCAGATCCGCGGCTCCACTTGGCGCCCCCCCACCCCATGGGCCCCGTGGGCTGTGCGCGGGCCCCGCCCCACCACGTGATCACGGGGGAGACGAAAGGGCCGTGGGCGCAGCTGGCCCCGAGCTGCGTAAATGAGCCAGGTCCCTGCACCCTGGTCCCAGGTTCTTTGCATCTTCACCGCAGGCTGAGGCCTGTTAGCTCAAAGCCTGGGGGCGCACCGGGTTGTTTTAAGAGCCCAAACAAGCCAAGTTATATCCATTCAGAGCCTGCTTTGTGTGGCCCACAAAACCTCACCAGACAGCTGTCACCACCGGAAAGAGGGGGCCCTGCAGGTGTGAGCCCTGAATGCCACTCACTGCCTGGGGAGCTCTGACCCGAGACTTCCTTCCCGCAGTCGCTGGGGGACATGCCACACATGGAGGAGCCCCCCGAGACGGCCCTCCCTTCCCCCCACGACACAGCCTTTGACGGTCTCGTGGTGTGAGGGACGTCCACACGCACACCTGTGCCCACGGTGCCCACGGGCAGCTTCCTCTGGGAGTCTGGGGGGTGAGCCAGGGAAACTCCGAGGGTGACCCCACACTGAGAATCGTAGGATTTACACTGGGTGGGGTGGAGGGAAGCGGCGAGGTGGGCGAGCAGCTACGGGGCCCACAGGCCCTCAGGCTCCCAGGGCGCTGTGCCTGGTGGGACACAGAGCAAGGTCTCTAACGCGGAGTCTGCAAAGGGCACCTGGAGAGTTTTCTGAGCATCCCAGAGCCGGGCCCCACTCCGGGGAAAGGAGGCAGCAGACCTGGGGAGGAGCTGGGGGCCCAGCTGAGAGCCTGCGACTGGGGCGCAGGGCAGGGCGGGCTGGGGAGGGACAGGGCGGCCGGTGACGCGCAGGAGGCCCACCTGTGCTTTACTAGCCGGTGAACCGTGAAAAGTGGTTCAACACAGGCGTGTCTGAGCTACTGCGGGGGCAAAGCAGCACTCCAAACGCACTCGCTGTTCCCCGAGACTTAACTCTTAGCTGGACGCCCTGTATTTTTACTTGTAAACCTGTTAGCCCTGAGCAGGGGGAGCAGGGGAGAGTCGTGGGGAACCACGGCAGGAGTTGAAGCCAGTGGCTGTGGCTGTGGCTGTGGCTGTGCATGTATGTGCGTGTGCGTGTGTGTGTGCGTGTGTGTGTGCGTGTGTGTGCGTGGCGTGTGACAGGACTAGGGGTGCAAGTGGCGGGTCAGCAGGAGGGTGGGACGCGGGGAGCCCCATTCCTAGCTCAGCCCCGAGCCCAGGGAGCACATCCCCTGCAGACTGGCTGAGCGACGCTTCAGAGGATGGAGAATTGAGGTCACAGGAGATGGGACAGCCTGCAAAGTCTACGTGAGAGACGGCGAGAAATTCGGTGAGAGAAGGGGTGTGGCTCAGGCTGGAAGGCTCCCTGGAGTGACCGGTCATCTCGCTGAAACTGTGAAGCCGACTGGACGGGCTCACCCTGCCCCGCAGGAGAGATGGGCCTCGAGGACTCGTGACCTTGGCGTTTGGCCGCAGATGGAGTTTCACCCCCACAGCGGCCAGAATGTTTACAAAGCCTGACCTCAGGGCCCAGGTAGCTCGTACCGTTCCTAACCACAGAGCGGCGGCCGCCGCGAGGAGGAGGGCGTAGCACCCGGCCCTGGCCCGCCCCTCAGGCCGGGCGAGGCTGGGGGACGCGCCCCTTCGGCCGCTGCCCGGAACACGGAAGAGCAGCCGGTGGACGGCGTCTGTGAAGGTGCCGGGTGGGGGAGCCTCGGGGAAGAGCGGAATTCCACGCAGGTGGGCGTCGGCGGCCAGCACCAGGACCCCCGCCAGCTGCAGAGCAAACCCGACACACTGACCTGAGCACGGGGTTGCGGAGCCCAGACTCAGGTGGGGCTTCTAAACGCGTTAAAATAAGGAAAAGCTCGGAGAAGCCGTTTTTGGATTGTGGGTCACATCACCTGGGTGTAGGAACGTAGCCCTGAAGGCCCCCCCGCCCTGGCCAGGTCTGCCCCCCACCCCAGTGCTCAGCCCCAGCACCTCCTCTCTGGTCCCCTTCCCGCCAGCGCCCCCTCCTCCCTGCCAGCGGCTCCCTGAGCCGCAGGAGCCCACACTTGCTGCCAGGGGCACCTGTCTCACCACCTCGGCTCCTGGCACCCCAGGGGGCTCAGGAAACGAGCACTTAGGGAGGCAGGGAAGAGCAATCTCGCGCAGAGTTTAGCTCGGGTGAGTGTCCGCTGTCTGGTGGTGGTAACAGACCAGCACCCGGGCCCAGGACATACACTGCTCCCTCCATCCACCCGAACAGGCCCGAGGCCCCCGCCCAGGAGGTGGCAACAACCACGAACATCGTGATAATAATAACAACACAGCGTGGAGAATACGGAGCAGAGCCAGTGTAACCCCCACAACTCATTACCTGACTGCTGATGCCGGAGACCTAAGACCAGCCGCAGAGGCTCCATGCTGGATGGGGCTCCCTCCCCCCGCCCCGAGAAAGGGCTCCCTGAGCAGAACACCCCGATTCTGTTGGTTTGCCGGGCAATCACCCGACAAAGAATCCTCACCGCTGGCGCGAGGACGCCCGAGAGAGAGCGGCGGGTCACCAGGGTGCAGGAGGCCACTGCGCTGTGGGAGCCAAGCAGGCGGAGGCACTTCAGCGTCAGGAGGAAGGAGAGGGTCCCCTGCAGCCACCTGGCCCTCTGTGCAGAAGGACACGGGGGTCAGCGCGTCCCGGCCGCCCCAGGGTGCGCACGGGATCAGTCACACCTGCGGGCGTGTGCGCGAGGGGGCGGCCCAGGTGTGCCCTGGGAGTGAGGGAACCGCAGCTGCCGACGCGAGAGAGACCGAGTGTCGGGTGTCCCCGGAGGGGAAGGAGCTAGGAGGGGAGCTGGGCCCTCCCTGCGTGGCCCCCGACACCCGTCCTACCTGACTCCACAAGGCCACGTGACTGAGGTCCACGGCCCTCTGCAGAAACCCCCTGTGGAGCTGGTCGGCCACCTCCGCAGCCAGAGACAGCAGGTGGCCAGAGGCTGCGCACCAGGCGAGGCCGGCTCCGGCGATGGGCAGCTGCCGGGGGCAGAGGGAGGGCGTCAGCCGGCTCCGGGCAGGGCTGCGGTGCCCGAGCCCTGGTGCCGCGGGAGGGACGCTGACCTCGGTGCCCTTCAGGGGCTAACACACTGGGAAACGGCACTAAAGCTGGAGCAGCTGGCCCGCCCGTGGTCGGTTTCCTGCCACGACTATTCTTGTTCTAAATCTGTGACGGACACGACAGAGGGGCTACCTCCAGCCAGTTCCCGGGTTTTTGCCAGTAGCTGCGGACGCCCTTGTCAGCCAGGCAGAAGAGCTGGAGGCTCAGGTGGGTCAGGGTGAGCACCAAGAAGGCCAGCTGGGGGGCAGAACCAGTTCCCGTGAATCGCTGTGCGGAGACGGAGACTCCGGGCCAGCACCCTGGAGTGGGCGCCATTCGAGCTAGTTCCTGGGCGTGTGGCGCATGAGATGAACTTGGTGTTTGCTGGCCCCTGGGCAGTTTGCACCTCTCCACCCACCAGCACTCGGAGACCCCACCCGAGGGCGACGGGGATGCACGTGAGCTCGAGATGGGGGTGCCCTCACGGAAACCCTGCCCGGTGAGTGTCGCCCAGTGCCCAGCGGGCCTCCTGGCCACCACGCCAGCCCCGAGTCCTTCCCCACGATGCTCAAGAGAAAGAGCTTTCTTGGATTTGGAGAATGTATGAAACGTATTATCAGTTTCCTCGACAAGTAAAACCTTTGAAAGGTCCTGTATGTAAGAAATTTCTTAAAGTTCTGCTGATGGTCGTCTCACCACTGGTGAGTTACCTGTTCACCTGGACTCCCTCCCTCCCTCGCTCATTCATTCAAATTCACTCACTGAGAACAGCACCGGCCAGTGCTCAGCGACAGTGGAACTGACCCGTCTGAGGTCACAGCCGCCCTGCGGAGCCCCTGGGACCTGCCGGTTAACACTTTAAAGCTAAAAGCCTCTTTCGGGTCCCTCCTCCCTCTGGAGCTGCCCCGTTTCGGGCGCAGCGGCCCCAGGACAAGAACAAGCCCAGTAGCAGCCACGTCACAGAAGACGGACTGAGACGAGGCGGCCGGGGTGGACAGCGTTGTGACCCACGGCCGCCACACCTTGGACACCGATCTCCGGTTCCCACGACCAGCCGCCGGCTGCCCTGCGTGCCCACCTTCCTGCCCACACACAGCCCAGGGCCGAGCGCTCCCCAGTCCCAGGCTGGTCATGAGCTAGGGGGACCTGGAGCGCAGAGCGGCCCCACAGGCTCCGGTCTGGCTTCCTGGGAGTCACGTGCGCTGCGCCCCAAGCCTGGGTGCTGAAAATGCTGTGTTTTGTCCACTATGAGTTTTTTTTGCCTGAATTTTGGTTTTCAGAACCATTTCCCTGGAACATGACCTGCCTGACGGCTGAGGTGAGCGCCTGGCCTGGGAGCAGCCGCTCCTCCTGGCCCCCCCA